TAATTAAAGTTATTCTTCTGTGTATTTTGAGCAAGGCGATTGTAATTTTTTATTAATGCACTGTTTAGCTACGCGCAACTTTGCTTATGTTGAAACTTTATTTTCGTGAAATTTTATATGCATATTCAGTAGGTCTGAGAATCGGACATCTATTTTTCATCCCCCTAAATGTTAAGGGTTTTTAATTAATTTATAATAATTTTTTTAATTAATTTTTAGTTAACCTTAATTTTTTTTGCCATTTTTTTTTATTTTAATTTTTTATGATACATCATACAAAAATGTTACCCTATTTTTATGGCGGTACTAAGTTCGCTGGGACAGCTAGTTTCTCTATATAAATACTCCAGATCCCTAGACAAGCAGTCAGTTCAACTGTCTTCATACTCGCAATGAGTCGTAGTTAAGCAGAATCTATAATATTTTAAGTACAGAGTTCCAAATAAAGTTGAGTCGAACAAAGTATTGCCTCTTACTTTTTAGGGTTCCGTACCTAAAAAGGAAAAAACGGAACCCTTATAGGATCACTTTGTTGTCCGTCTGTCCGTCCGTCCGTCTGTCAAGACCGTTTTTCTCAGGAACACGTAGAGGTATCAAACTGAAATTCATATATAATACTCAGGAGTACTGTCCCTTGGAGCTGCGAAAAAATCAAACTTCTAAGCCAAAGCAATCAAAAGATACAGCCGTTTATGTCGCATATTTTCGAAACTCGCACGGGAATCAAAACCTACAGGGTACTTCCCGTGAACTTAGAATCTTGAAATTTGGTACGAAGTAACGTCTTATAGTACAGATAAAGGAAAAATTGCGAAAACCGTAAATTCTTAGTTACATCCTATAATATTTTTTTTTTTAATAATTATTAAAATATACCTAGAGGTTTGTACGGAACCCTCGGTGCGCGAGTCCGACTCGCACTTGGCCGGTTTTTTTACATTACATTTGAATTAGAGAACATATAGAAGTTTTTTGGTTTGTTGTCCCGTGATCGAATACGCTATAGTCTATTCACTTTGGCGTGAGACAAAATGTAAACAAAGAATCTGAGGTTCTAAATCTCTTATCTATTAGACAAAACCGTCCGTCCGTCTGTGGTGCGGTTTCAGCGGCCAAACCGTAAGAGAAGATAAAGAGAATGTTTAAGTTATAAGTTAAGAATAGTATAGATAAGACTACAAACCGGATTTGAGTAACGTAGCACTTCCGGTTTTCGAGAAATCACGAATTTCAAACGAAACCACACAAAATCTCCGAAGTTCTCGATTAATTAAATACATTTTTTTTTAATCAGATTTTGGTGAACATTTGGTTCACTGGTTTGCTAGTCTTTTATAATGTCAGAAAGTACCCACTAGTCAATGATTGCGTATAATTTATGTAACCTATAATTTATTAACAGCTATCAACTTAACAGAAAAAAATAACAACAAACTCAAGAAATAAAACTAGGCAATAACAAGAATTTAACAAATATGCACGCTCTCGTCATCAGTTTGATCGGGAGAGTAAAGATGGCTAACGTAAACCAACCGATTACAAAACACAACACTTCAACGTAAAACACTTATATCATGGTCTACTCTTAAATTTTGTTGTATTATAATACGTGTTAAGATTGGGAATCATTGTGTTTTTAGGTCTTTTTCCATGTCAACTTAAGTTGTTAAAATAATTTTATCAGCAAAATAAAAATATACGAATTTATGATGAGTATGTACATTGAATATGTACGAAATATTTTATTTTCTTATTCATATGTATGTACCAGCTGTTAAAATAATTAACTTAATGTTTCCCTGCATTTCCTATGTAAATAGTATTTAATCTTTACTTTTGTCAAACCTTTACCTTAAAACCTTTTATGGTTTTTTTACATTTTGTCTCACGCCAATGTGAATACACTATAGTATTGGCAGTTGCTATGCAGCAGCTAAGAAGTTGGAAAATTTTTTTTTTGCTCCCAGCCAAAACGGGAAATAAATATTTTTAAATAACTATGTATAATGATTTCCATGTAGTGCAGATGCGGTATTCAAAAAAACGTCTTAGTGTTTGGTACAAATATAGTTTATAGCACCGCAGAGCGGAAGATAATGTTTGAGACCTTGACACGAAATTAATTCAATGTCAACTTATTTTACGTTTGTATATTATTCAAACAAATCATTTGAAGTTAATGACACAAATAGATTATAAAATTACGCAATACGTGTGTAGGCACAACGTTTTTTAAGGTTTCGGCTTTTATTTTATTTATTTCTTTATTTATTATCATTTACAACAAATGGCGGACTTAATATAATTATATATCTTAAAAGAGACATTATGCGGTAAAGTAAATAAAAGCAAAAGTTGAAAGAAAATCAAAAGAAAAATTAAATTGATTATATAACATGATACTTAATATAATAATTACATTACATAACATCTATAAATATACCTACATAACTACATATATAAACATACATATTTATACATACGATAAATACTTAAATATATACAATAATAAATACCACTATACCTACTTATGAATACTATAACAAAACAAAATACAAATAATAATAAAATATAATACAAATATTATTAATATTAGACGGATTGACCAGAGTTTGATCATAATATAGAAATTCAAATTGTTATGACTTCTTTTACAACAAAAAAATATGAAACTCATACCCCCTTAATTATAAACGAGGTATACGCTTAGACTAGTTACGCCGTGTTTTGTTCATGACACTCAAGTGTCATTTGTAATTCAATGAACAGAGACAAAATAAATAGTAACTAATCCAAACTTATGCGTAGTTTATTAATAAGGCGGTTAGAGTTTCATAAAAAACCATTATAAAGCTGATTATATTCTTATTTTCTACTTATTGGTATGTTTCCCGCGATAGAGGATAGGACAGGGCAAGGAGGGTATTAAAGGGTGAAAAAGAGATTTCACTCCCATGGATGAAATCCCTAATTTACCCTCTAATAAAATCAATCATGGATGAAATCCCTAATTTACCCTCTAATGAAATCAATCATGGATGAAATCCCTAATTTACCCTCTAATGAAATCAATCATGGATGAAATCCCTAATTTACCCTCTAATGAAATCAATCATGGATGAAATCCCTAATTTACCCTCTAATGAAATCAATCATGGATAAAATCCCTAATTTACCCTCTAATGAAACCTATCATCTTCTTTTGATAAAATGCTCTAAGGGTTTATAGGGAACTGTTTGCGATTTTTAAGAACCAAAAGAAGTCACGGACAGAAACTAGTGAATTATTAAAGAAGCGCTCGTTATTGCACTATCGAGTTCCTATTTGTAAAATGTTTATCTGACAATGACATTTGCACCGGGAGGCTGCCGAAAGTAGGTCGTGTTGTTTATTGTGTAATTGGGACGCAGCCTCTGACAATATCCAGATAACCTTTGGCAATTGTGATATTGAATAGACGCTCTTTGATAGTGAACTGCGCGGAGTAACTTATTCGAGAAATGAAAGAAAAAAAACCGGGTTGCACTCCAGGAGTGCCGGCAGAAGTGAAAACTTGAATATTAACGTTGTGCATTTTTGATATTTTGGAATGGTTAGGGAATAATTTTGAACGAATTTCTTTAATTATCAGTATAAAAGTACTATCATTTATGTGGTAGAATACTATATTTATTTATTGCGCTGTCGTACACAAACATGACAATTTATATTACATTAAAAAGTTTATCTCTCAGAATTACTCATTTATTGTAAAAAAATGCATTTTCTTCGCAATAAAGCTGCCACCTGGACGTCCTAGTTACAGACTTATTATTATAATACGACAAAATAAAATATTACTATGTTTCGTCCAATATATTAAAAGTCCACAACCTTTGCAATTTTATTGTGTGTCATGATGCGATCAGCCCACGTGTTTAAACCTGAAGCGAGTTTAACATTTTTTACTCGTACAAAAAAAATATACAACGCCGCTAAAGAAGTTTTCACTTCAAAAATACGCATAGAAAAAGAAGGAACCATGTTTCGAAATTTAGCTCTAGATACCAAATGGGGCAGCTATCGATTTCATTTCCGAGTCTAAAATTCGTTAACAATGCGGTTATTTTACTTATTGACTTCATGAGTTATCTCATCATCATCATCATCATCAGCCTATTAATGACCCCACTGCTGGGGCACAGGCCTTCCCTATGGATGGAATAGGGAGATTAGGCCATGACCCACCACGCGGGCCCAGTGCGGATTGGCGGGTGCTAACGACTGCAGATGCAGCCGGGACCAACGGCTTAACGTGCCTTCCGAATCACGGAGGAGCTCGAGATAGTAAATTTTTGGTCACCCATCCAATGACCGACCACTGCGAAAGTTGCTTAACTTCAACGATCGCAGCCGAACGCGCTAACCACTTGCGCCATCGAGCTCCTCGAGTTATCTCATGTAGGAGTAATTTTTCAATTTGACGACTCTGTATATAATACAGGGAGAAAAAAACAGCCCTTGCTGAGTTTCTTGCCGGTTCTTCTCAGTACAAGGTCTCCCGCCGTAGATTTGCGAACCGATGGCGTAGCTTTTCGACATTCACAAGTGCTTGTAACAGCCTAGACTGAATAAACGATATTGAATTTTGAATTTTATCTCATATTGAAGTCATTTTTCAATTTGACGACTTTGTATATAATACAAAAACAACTGATCTTGTCGAATGCGTAGTGGAAATCACGGTATTACGTTTATCTGTTGCCCGTTTCTTAAACGAGAAAATAGTCGCTTCCTAGCCGGCAGTTTGACCAAAAATTTACTGTCTCCAACTCCTCGTTGCTTCGCAAATCACGTTAATCTCTTAACCCCGGCTGCATCTGCAGTCGTTAGCACTCACCAAGTGGCATTGCTTGGACGTTCACCCGTTCCATACTTATGAAAGGCCTCTGCCCCAGCAGCGATGATATTGATGGGATGTCATGACGATGATTTATCAGTGAACAACATATTTGTGCAGGCACTGGCTCCAACGCGTTACTGAGGACACCAGACGGAGAGCAGCATGGTTGCGGAGGATGGGGCTACTTACTCGGTGACGAAGGCAGTGGTAAGTGAATTTAAGTGTAATTCCATTTCAATATGTAATAATTTCAAATAGGGTATTTGACAGTGTTAAAAATTATGTGCCAATTGTTAGCATCTGTGTTTAGAATGAATATTGGCAGGGGTTTTTACTATTTTTACAAAAAAAAAATGTTCAGATTTTACTAAAAACTAACGAAAAAGATAAAAAATGGTTGCCTGTAAAGTCGGTTTTACGGGCGAAGATTTTACGTGACAACGTCTTTTTCTCGGTAGAATATTTATTGATATGAATATAATTAAATTGCACAATAGGAACAAGGAATTGAATGAAAATAAGAATTGCACAAATTTTAACTATAGAAATATATTTTGTTTACTAAAACATTGTACATGTAAACTTAAACTCATCGTAACGTTACCGAGCGTTACACTTTTTCATAAGTGACTCCCAGCCGCAACCTAATTTAAGACGTTGTCACGTCAATAGTTTTCTTATCTATTGTCACGTAACCCAAAACGCTTGGGATTGGCGGAGCCTAAAATGACATCACACGCAGGTAAACTTCCGGTTAAAGTGACATTACATTGTATCGTTTGACGTTTTCATAACAGTCGTGTGACGTCACACACTAGTAAAACGCCATATTGTCCAAAGAAACGTTTTCGCGGCAACTTGAAAATGGAGTTTTTGATTTGGTTACTTTTACATGAAATTTGAAATACACAACAGAATGATGAATATCCACTTTTTACGGACTACATAAACATTAGTCAATAACGTGAGATCGTTTTCTAAAACTTGTCAAATGCCCTATTCTTAAATGAAAAAGACATTGAACAATAGCAACTGAAATTTGTGAAAAACTTCAGCTTGATCCTTAAAAAAAACGATCCGACTAGAAGGACCATGCACTAAGGTCCCCCAAAGCCAATTAGCTATAAATAAAACAAGATACCGGAACGTATAGACAATTTATTTCGAAATTATTTAAACTCTATATAACTCAATTGAACTAAACCATACCGTGTGTATAATTTAATACAGCTCCATCTATGTGACAAATGGAGAAAGAATTTAATATAAGGTACCACATTAGACACAGCCCTATACTAACCTTGTGGTAGCCAAGAGAGCGAACGAGAGGGAACCACTTAAGAGATGGGAGGACGACATAGTTCAGTTACCGGGGAATACCTGGACAAGGCATATATTTAAATTTAAAGATAGTATAAAAAAAACACTTATTACAAAAGCTTATTACAAAGTGTCTGATTATATCACAGACAAAAATCCTTGGATTCGAACTATTCCAATCATTCCAACAGGTTTTCTATATTAAATAAATCATAATTGTATTGACGTTGTAACAACATAATGATTTGTGAATGTTGTTACATTAGACTTTTAATGTTGTGGAGTTTTTTTCGCTCGTTTTTCTCCGCAGCTAAAAATATGTCCATAACTTGTGGTAGGGAAAAAACATTTTGGACGATTCAAAAGAGTTGTACTATACATCCAATTTGAATAAAGATATATTGATTTCTGATCTTTGAAGGCTGGCTAGGGAGAGCAAAAAGTGGAAAGAGTTGGAGAAAGCCTGTTCCAAAAGGCACACAGAGTTAAAAACATCTTTGCACTTATTGTTAGTAAATTCGTTGATTGTCTATTGTTACATATTTGACATTATGTGATGGAAGTTGACCTCAACACATGTTTGCAAGTTTGATGTCAACTTTCAATGGGGCGACACTGTATGAAATAAAACAGGGAGAAAAAAGCAGCCCTTGCTGAGTTTCTTGCCGGTTCTTCTCAGTACAAGGTCTCCCGCCGTAGATTTGCGAACCGATGGCGTAGCTTTTCGACATTCACAAGTGCTTGTAACAGCCTAGACTGAATAAACGATATTGAATTTTGTTTTTTGAAGTTATACTTCTTTAGGCGCGTTATGAAAAAATGATGAGAGTGAAATTTTAAGATGCGCGCGCATCACTGTAACACAAAATTTTAACAGCATGAAGTTGGTCGCTTTAGCGACCAACTTCATGCGTTACTTCTTTGTTTACCGCACATTAAGAAATCTACCAACAAAATAGAAATAGAATCTCTATTTAGTGGGTGCTAACGACTGCATTCTGAAGGCCTATCAAAAGTATTTATTTATCTGGAACAACGGAACCAAAGCGCGATTCAGGAGACTACAGCGCCATCTCTTGACCATTGGTGTAGTAGAACCAAAAACCACATCTTTATTTTTTGTAATAAAGTAACAGTTATAGGTATTCATATTTATAATATTTATCCGCATGTTTCTAGTTTGTATATTCGGAATACGTGTTTGAGTTTCATACAAGTGCAAATCACATATGTTCTAATAAATTATATTCAGTAGCGATTTTAATTGAATATTTTGATTATTTATTTATTTTTTCAAATTAAAACTGAACTTTATTGACTGTGTCCTTTTCCAGACTTTTTATTAATTTATTGTAATTAATTATTTGCATGCAATTAAAAACTAATTTTAAACGATGCCAAAGAAGGATAACTTCTGACGCGCCTACATAAGTACACGCACCCATTTTTTTTTAAAGAGTTATAAAAATGAATACAATAATTTTATATGATTATAAATTAATTAATTAAATTTATATTTTTCTTCTTTTCAGCGTACTGGATAGCACACCGCGCCGTGAAGGCCGTATTCGACGACATAGATGGATTGAATCCGTCGCCCCATTCAATCCACAGCGTTTGGGAGGTGATAAGGGAGCACTTCAACGCAGACACCAGAGCTGATCTCCTAACGCACGCTTACAAACATTTCGACAAACCTTTGTTCGCGGGTGAGAGAAACTATTTTGTAACTTTTCGTTTCCGAAACTTTGAATGTTTGTAAATATCTTTCTGCGTTTAAATCTCTTTCTAACCTTTCCACTCTGATAGCTAGACTTCTTGAACATTTTTTTTCAAACCTGTTCATTCGCGGGTATAAATCTGTTTGGAAACTTCTTTTTTCTTTTTTTATGGCATGCACGGTTTGGAACCTCTTCCAGAATAGTTTTAGATTTCGTTTTTTTTTTAAGATTTTCCCTTTTCAGGGAAAGCAAAGGGAACAATGCCCATACAGCCTAGTCTTCAGTTTTATTAATCTTCCTTTTTTATATTAGAAATTCGGTGTGACGCATTCTAATGTTTCTTGGAGTGTTAGGCACGAAATGTATCGAGTTGGCTTTATCGATAAGCTTCTGTGAGGTAGTTCAACATTACAATAATGTTCTCATGTCCACTTGACCGGAATAGCGCCTATTTTAAAGAGTCAACTACTTCTTCAGTTGCGCAGAAGGTTCACAATATTCACTTTGAACGAATTTAATAATAATTAAATTAATACGCCAACCGTACTCGATAAAATCCCTCCAAAAACTCCTTTAGATTTTGTCCATTTCAAGTATTTAATGATAGCAAACAAAAAAATTTACATCCATCCTCTTTTAAACCTTTTTACTTTGGTTTTTTTTGGTTCTGTTATTTCCGTTCATTAAACGGATTTACTTTGGTATCTTAAACATTTGTTCGCCTGTAAGAAACTTTTTTGTAACCTCTTCCAAAACTTTGCACGATGGCAAAGAGACGTTTTATATCCATCCACTTTTAAACATTCGTTCGCTTCTCAGAAACTTTTTTGTAACCTCTTCCAAAACTTTGCACGATGGCAAAGAAACGTTTTATATACATCCTCTTTTAAACATTTTTTTCGTTTGTTAGCAAAACGTTTTGAATCCTCTTTTAAACATTTGTTCGCTTGACTGAAACCTTTTTGTAACCTCTTCCAAAACTTTGCATGTTGGCAAAGAAACGTCTTATAGGAGAGGATGGACCTCTTTTAAACGTTTTTTTCGTTTAGTAGCAAAACTTTTTGGGTCGTTTTTTAAATCATAAACATTTGCATACAAACTAAAGGCGATGCAATGTGACCCTTAATTCCTTAAACCACTCAGATTCAAGACAGGAAAGCCATAGATATTCCTCTCTAATAGAAGCGCCCGGTTGGTGAAAGTTATAACCATTACCTTAGGGGCCGTTCATAAAATACGTCACGCTAAAATCAGCTTTTTCCGACCCCCTCCCCCCTATTGTCACGCTGTGGCCCACTTTCTATGACCCCTCTTGAAATATTCCGTCACAAAAACGGAGACCCTCCCCCCCTCCCCAAGTATGATTAATTTCAATTGATAGTACACAAATTTTAAGAATTTAAATATTTATTTAGTTTTCATAATAAAATTTAAATATTTAAATATGCGCTAATGTCGAAAAATAAACATGAGTAAATATATCAAGTTACAATTTATTGTATAATAAAACTATATACGTTTGAATGTCTATATGTTTACTAAATACGAAATAAATGATTTTCTATCTTGATGAAAATTGAGAAAGAAAAATAGTTGAAAGAAATACTAATTCAAAATTTTTTAATGAACGACGAACGTCACGTTGCCGTAGACCCCCAGTCCCCCCTTGTCACATCTTGTCACACTTAGCAAGACCCCCCCCCCCCCCTGTATGCGAACGTATTTAATGAACGGCCCCTTACAATAAATCACAGGAAAATATAAGAATAACCCGGTTTTAAGTACAACGTAGGTTTTATTTTGTTAAAGAAAATCTTACAATAAAATAAGTTTTAGCACATGTTCGTATTTATGACTAACTTACATAATGACTATATCTTTTCATTAATTTTCCATATTTCGTTGTTATCTTCAAATAATGTCAGATTGTTATTAGAAGCACGAGGCACGTCGAATCCTTTATAGAATGCAAATAGGTTTTTTATCATTATAATTAAAGAGTATTAAAGTTGCCTTATCAAATCATTATTTAATTTAATACGTAATAAGTACTTAGCTAAGTAATTTTTGTAAGTTAACAGCTTATTGTACAAAATGATGATTGGAAGATACTTTATCATCCAATTACTTAATTATATAATGATAATATTTTAATTTGTTTAGTGAGAACTTCGTGACAATTCTTACCAAATTAATTAAAATTCGCGTTGTTAAAACATAATTAAATTTGACTAACTATAGTACAGTACCTTTAGCACGAACCAAAATCGAATTCGTATCGTTTGCGAGTCCGAAATGTCATTGTCAAATGTGTACTGATATTAAGTTCTCGTTACGTACTTTGTGCCGCTGCTGTTCAGGTTTCCATACAAAATTTGACATTGACATTTCGGTTTGCAAACTATTCGAATTCGAAACGATACGAATTCGATATTGGTTCGTGCTAGGGGTACTGTACTAAAATACAAAGAAAAATTAGCCATTTGTCAATTTTACACGTTTACTACGTATTTGACGTGACATTAATCTATACTTATAATAAATCTGTGGAGATGTCAATTATGTACATGAAATATATTTTTAAAATAACTATCGGGGGGTGATTAGTCGATCGATACTGATGCCAAAAATGCAATCAGTAAAATTTTTGTCTGTCTGTCTGGCTGTCTGTCTGTGTGTATGTTCCTTATAGAAACAAAAACTACTCAACGGATTTTAACGAAACTTGGTACAATTATTCTTCATACTCCTGGGCAGGTTATAGTTTACTTTTCATCACGCTACAATCAATAGGAGCAGAGTAGTGAAGGGAAATGTTGGGAAAACGGGAGAAGTTACTCCATTTTTTAAGCTTCCGTCGCGGGTGCAGCCTTTATGGTTAAAGTTACATAGAAATCATGTATGACGGAAATATTCTACATAAAATTGTCTAAAAAATATCACGCAACAGCATATGTCTATCTTTTATGGTTGACTCACAATAACACGTGTAATTATATAAATAAAGTCATTGTTTATAGCACAAGCCTGAGAACAAAAACTATAGTTTACACTACAGCTCTACACCGAAGCAAAGCGAGGGCGGGCCACTAGTAAATAATATATTTATATCACTCACACCAATTAGCCTAGCCCCAAAGTAAGCAATGTAGGCTTGTGATATGAGACATAAGGATAACGGATAGAATACATCTACTGTACATATATAAGTATATTTATATAGAAATACATATTATATCACATTTTAACTATACTTAAACTATGTTTCAAAGTACGCGACATTAGTAATTATACAATACTAGCGGCCCGCCCTCGCTTCGCTTCGGTGTAGAGCTGAAGTGTAGACTACAGTTTTTGTTCTCAGGCGTGTATTATACACAATGATATTCATCTATGATTCTTCTTATACCTGCATGCAAAGTCTCAGCCCGATCGGTTTAAAATTGACAAAGTTTCATACAAACTTTCATTCCCTATTTTATCCCCTTGGGATTAGAATTGATCAAAATCCTTTCTTAGCCGATGCTTGCGTCATAACATCTACCTGCATGCCAAATTTTAGCCCGATCCGTCCAGTGGTTTGGGCTGTGCGTTGATAGATCACTATGTCAGTCAGTCAGTCACCTTTGAGTTTTATATATATAGATTGCCGTTTCGCATCCTTTTCAGGCTGCGTCGTCTGAATTATGAAAAGGTTGCGTTGAAACTTGTTTTGTTTAAAGTTTTTTTTAACGTAGGTGCAACAATGAAACTGGCCAAACTAGCGTACCAAGGGGACCCGTTAGCTCGTCATTTGTTCTCGGAAGCCGGACAGACCCTGGCGGCGCACATAGTCGCGTTATCGAGGAGGACGACAATAGAAAGATTGAGGGTAGTCTGCGTCGGCTCAGTGTGGAAGAGCTGGGAGATCTTGAAGCCTGGATTTCTCAAAGAACTCACGAGGAGACAGGTCGGTAACGTATAAATTGAATTATATTAAAAAGTACTAGAAAAAATTCCACGCGGACCAGGCAGCAGACGGGACTCGAACCCGCACCCTTCGCAATCCGAGCGAATGCACTGACCAATTATGCTACCGCGGCCCTCACGGACCGCGTCGAAATTCCTCTAGCCATTCTTAAGCTGCAAGGCAGCGACATCTCTTCGCATTATAGGTAACCCGCAATGTCAAATGAATACTTTTACAAGTATTAAACATTTGAAAGAAGAAATAGCAATTAAAGTTATATTTTAATTTAAAAAAAAAAGCATGTAACTGCTTGATGTTTAAATCTAAAGAAAATATAACTAGAAAAAAATCCACGCGGACCAGGCAGAAAACGGGACTCGAACCCGCACCCTTCGCAATCCGGGCGAATGCACTGACCAATTATGGCGGGGTTACCGCCACGGACCGCGTCGAAATTTCGAATATATATATATAACTATATTAAACAGTGTTATAAAATATGATATCACCCAGTGGACCTGATAGAAGTATTTCTGCATTAAGATTTCTTTTACAAAATTGCGCCGCTGCCGTACTGATCGGCGCGTAGGTAGATTTGCACAAGTATTATATTGCATTTTACGGGTGATGTTTCGAGTCTTATAAAATAATTATTAATGAAGTAATTATAAAAATATATACATATTTCAGTAGTTCAATGATGGTAGATTAGTTTTGACGTGACAACGTCTTAAATTAGGTTGCGGCTGGGAGTCACTTATGAAAAAGTGTAACGCTCGGTAACGTTACGATGAGTCTCTCGTGTTAAGTTTAAGTTTACATGTACAATGTTTTAGTAAACAAAATATATTTCTATAGTTAAAATTTGTGCAATTCTTATTTTCATTCAATTCCTTGTTCCTATTGTGCAATTTAATTATATTCATATCAATAAATATTCTACCGAGAAAAAGACGTTGTCACGTAAAATCTTCGCCCGTAAAACCGACTTTACAGGCAACCATTTTTTATGAAAGTTTTTGATAGTAATTCTATTTAATTCAATATCAAAATACGAGGTAAATCTGCATTGTTTTTTGGGAAAACTCACGGAGGTTAGATGATTTTTTTTGATAATTAATGAGATGTAAAATCAAAATTCTAATAGAATTTTTAACAAAAAAAAACATATTTCTGATGACGTCGTAATGAATTTGATCTAATTTATTAATGTTCAATAAATTTTAGAGAATTAGGTCTTTGAAGTTGTTCATATTATCGTTTTATCCGTAAACTAGCTGCGGTACAACGATCAGTACAAAAAAAGGAAAATAGTATTTGCAAATATTCTACAATAACTTACAATAGGAAGAATAAATCTACTGTTTACTTATATTGGAAATAGTCAAAATATTTTCGAAGTGGGTATACGAGGCGCTCAAAAATTACGATTTTTGCAAAAAATGTGAAAGGGCTCTTAATACAGCGCCATCTTCCGGGAATAAGTGTGAATCTAAACCAATAAGAGAATTACTGGAAGGCACACAAAAAAAATCATCAAAATTGGTCTGGCTGCTTAGGAGGAAAACGTTACATTACATATATATACACGCACTTAAGAGATATGTTTTATATATCTAATATATAAAATTCTCGTGTCGCGGTGTTTGTGGATATACTCCTCCGAAACGGCTCGACCGATTTTCGTGAAATTTTAAATGCGTATTCAGTAGGTCTGAGAATCGGATGTAATCAATTTTTCATCCCCCTAAATGTTAAGGGTAATCCACCCCTAATTTTTTATTTTCAATTTTAGATTTTTTTTTATAATTTTTATGATACACCATACAAAATACATACATCCCTAAATTTTCAATTTTCTACCACCAACCCCTATTTTTTTATGGCGGTACGAAGTTCGCTGGGTCAGCTAGTATTGTTATAAAACTTAATGTGTGAAAACTGGGCGCTTGCTTGTATCCTAAAATATACTTAAAGGAATTAGACACGTCCGCTAAGGTCTTGGTAGAATTATTGGTCAGCATTTCATTCGCCCGGCTAGCGGAGGACGTAGATTCTCATCCCACTCGAGGTAAAACTGCTGCCTGAGCCCAAATCGTGATATTTGATTTTTTTTGTTGAAAATGTCTCTATATTCGTGTCTGGCCACGTTATGTCTGACAGCAGATTCCAAGTAGCAAAAATTCAAACTTTTCACATGGCAGTAATGATTTTATTTTCCCTGATAGTTTATTATTAACCGACTTAAAATGAAGGGGGTTTTTAATTATGTACACATATATATACATAAATCGTATGCAAAGGACACCCGGCATTTTGTGCCAAAGTTGTATATTTTTTTAATTTTTTTATCTGTGTTTCAAAATTGGGTAACGTAGTCTGGCAATATTTGTCATCAGCAACTAACTGTCAATGTCAAATACGTAGGTTTGTCAATATAACCTCTTTAAATAGCCGGGTCGTCAAGAGAAATAACGGATAAAAAGGCAATCACAGCAGAGAACATTCACAATCACAGTACGCGGGAGCGGATGCGAAATGCGAATGATTTTTTTGTTTGTATTTTAGGATTGTCAAATTGACATTTGGTTTTTTATTTAGAAAATGCAAAGGAATCATGGTTTTTACAGTAACTTGAGTAATATTTTGAAGTAAAGTTCTGTCCCTTGAAGACTTAGGGTTTCCATATCAAAAAATATTAATCATTAAATAACTTCTTTCCACGATTCACTAAAAATAAGGCAAAAGTAGTTTTATGTAGCAAATAATTTTGGCTTTACTTTGAGACCAAATTCAACTGTATACAAGTTTAGCATTTTTTCTATGAAAAGTGCCGGGTCTCCTTTATCGTAGTTCGATATTACGATTTTTTTTCTGAAACTTCGCCGGCCGCAACCGCAACGCGCTTGCTTTACTCGCTCGGCTTGCGCGTTATAGTGCGATCCAAATAAGAATAGGAAAGCCAATGACCTCCATCTGTCAAATGTCGCTTGAAAAGTACGGTTTGCAAAAAAATCTCGGAACACTTTTTTAGCTCTCAGCTGATTCTAGAATAGAAACCAAACATTTGTAAACAAACAATAATAAATATTGATAATTAATATTGGTTGATATTTTTTTTCATTTATTGAGCTTTGTCTATGAATGGTTGTTAACCTAAATCGTCAACCAAATGTCACTTTAAGTTGCGTTCAGAAACTCAATTTAAAACTTTCGTTTACGCATAGGATGCATGTTCGTATGTGACCTGCATGATTATTCATAACTTCTCCGGCGGTAATGCAGAGATGAGCGAAATTGAAGAGCTACATTCTGATAATGTTTTTTTTCACGCAGTCTTAATAAAGAAATACTATTAAAAATCGGTTGTGTTCTTTCTCAACCTTAGTAAATTAATTTTATTACAAAAATCTGATGTTTTGTCTCACTTAATCTTAGTAAATAAGTTTTATTAAATAAAAACTTTTTTTCCTCACTCTACCTATTTGGTTTGAATTGACAGCCATGACGTCACAATATGGCGCCCAGTCGATCCTATTCTTAGTTGAATCGCATTTTACAACGCTAACTAACCTAGTGTGAAGTCTCACCTTTGGGCCCAGAAAGTACAGTATATCCAAAATTTCATTTCCAGCTGAAAACGGAACTCGAATTGGTGCGACTTCGAGTATCAAGCGCAATGGGCGCGGCTTGGCTCGCGGCGAAACACATCGACTACGATTTACCGCGCGACGACTCGGTATATTGCTCCGTCTTCTACACTTACGACCCACAAAACGTCAATATAACAAACGGCGAACACACGAACAACGGCACAACACACGAAAACGGCTGCAAAAACGGCCATTGCAAGGTAAACGGCGACAACACCGCCAGCATAACTAACGGGGAACTTTGCAACGGTTTTTGAAACGCTATTTTTAACGCTATTTTAAATAGCACCTAAAAAACTAAATATTATTTACGCATTATAACTTTATGCTTGTCTCGTACTTTTTTGAACGTTTAATTGCTTTTCAAATTACGTAATAACACTTAAAAAGCACTTGTTGGTATATTGGTTTGGTGGTGCAATTGACGAAATTGGATACAATATTATGTAGAGAGGTTTTAAATACATGGCAATAGTAACGAGAATAGCAGTGGTGCCGATTCTGACATGATTCTCTAAAACTAAACTTAAATTGGACAACAGTGCATCTTTGTCATTTTCTATACAGAATGTAAGGGAAAGACTGATGTTAAATTTCGTTTTAAGTTTAGAGAATCACGCCAGAATCGACACGGCTGCCTGTGTATAATCATCATGATAATCCAATATCCATCCTCATGACCTCAGTGAGGGCTACCGCGTTGGAATCCGCCGCTAGAGGCGCTTGTGGATCGCGAGGTCTCCGAAATGTCAAATGATATTTGTAAATGTATATCATACAGGGCTTCCCACGGCATTGTCACACGGAGGGAAAGTATATTAATGTAATATAAATTAAAGTATATAATATTTTTTTCGTACCACTTGCTCAAAAAAGTGACATTCTATGCCACAAAAAGCGAACATAACAATAGTGATTTAAAAGCGAAGCTAAGAAAAATTATTATGTCCTTTTTTCCGAACAAAACGGAACTGCGCAATACTGTGGTATGACCAATTATGTTTACGATAAACGCGCGTGAGTTATTTTTTTTTTCATTTAAATAATATTATAAAAAAGAACCGTTTTTCGTTTTTAAATATGATTTCAATGTAAACTTTGATTTCACACGCGTATTAACAAAATTAATCGATAGTTTTCGTGAGCTCGCACTCGTACTAAGGGTACTGATTTTATTGTTTTCGTTTCAATACAAATAAAAAGTGTTTAAATTCTATCATTAAATAATTTGAGTCTTCTTAAATTTTAAGTATATTTGGTTACTTTTCACCAAAATGGACATAGAAACATAATTTACAATTACGAAAACTATGATAGTTTTCGTGAGCTCAAACTCGTACTAAGGGTACTGGACTGCACTAGCCATCCAGTGAGACAAAAAACGGTAGCCCTCATTATACGCATGCTTAAAACTACAATTTTTAATTAAATTGATTGCAATAAATTGTATTTTATTCCAATGAATTGTAAAATATTGCTATATTGATAATCACATTGGTGGTCCGAATTATCTTGTTCTGTTGTTATCTTTGACAGCCAGCTGGGACAATAACGTCACATTTGTAAGTATGTTGTATAATGTATGACTAGATAAGAGAGTTTGTAAATAGAATAGGTAGGTAGGTTAGTTTTAGAAATCTAGTCCTATGTCATTTATTGTATATTAATAAGATAGCTTAAAAAGTGCCAATCCAAGAAAATAAGTTTTGGAAATATCTTCCAAAAAAATATCACCTAATAAAAAGGTCAAACACATTTGAATTAAGAATGAAATATTGTGTCAATGAATTATTTCACTTTTATAATCCTTAATTATTTTTGTAGGTAGATATTAAGAGTTAGGTTGAAAGTTTACTTCAACTTATCATGTTTAATTAGATTAATATGAAATATCCATTTTTCTAATGCTTTTCTACAGTGAATTGTAAATAAATAAGTAGATATAGTTCCTAAAATTTTCATTAAGGTTTTGAAAAAATCTTTTTAGCAATCTTTTGTAGAATTATGTTATTTGGTAATATAATAGAAGCCTATTACTATTTTTATATTCTACCCTGTAAATATTATGGAAAAAAACTGTTAATGTAACGATTTTAATATGTATTTTTATTGTATTTATATTAATTACAATGACAGTTTCCAAATTTAAGAATATATTATGTAATATTAGTAACAAAGAACATTATAATAAATTATTTACTATTATGGACTTGTTTTCTTTGTTAAATATCTGACCATAATTTATTTAAAATTTAACTTTATGTAGTCAACAATTTTTATATATTAGTATAAAAAATATCCTCGAAAAGTATGTACGCGTATCACTTTCGAACGACTGAACCAAATTAGATAATGTGTTCGTTATTGTTAGGACAAGGTTTGTATAAAAGAAAATTGTCAAAAAGACATGCAAAAAAAATCAAGAAATTTAAAAAAAAAATGGGTGCGTGTACTTATGTAGGCGCGTGAGAAGTTATTCTTCTTTGGCATCGTTTAAATTAGTTTTTAATTGCATGCAAATAATTAATTACAATAAATTAATAAAAAGTCTGGAAAAGGACACAATCAATAAAGTTCAGTTTTAATTTGAAAAAATAAATAAATAATCAAAATATTCAATTAAAATCGCTACTGAATATAATTTATTAGAACATATGTGATTTGCACTTGTATGAAACTCAAACACGTATTCCGAATATACAAACTAGAAACATGTGGATAAATATTATAAATATGAATACCTATAACTGTTACTTTATTACAAAAAATAAAGATGTGGTTTTTGGTTCTACTACACCAATGGTCAAGAGATGGCGCTGTAGTCTCCTGAATCGCGCTTTGGTTCCGTTGTTCCAGATTAATAAATACTTTTGATATTATAAATATGAATACCTATAACTGTTACTTTATTACAAAAATAAAGATGTGGTTTTTGGTTCTACTACACCAATGGTCAAGAGATGGCGCTGTAGTCTCCTGAATCGCGCTTTGGTTCCGTTGTTCCAGATTAATAAATACTTTTGATAGGCCTTCACAATGCAGTCGTTAGCACCCACGTAATAGAGATTCTATTTCTATTTTGTTGGTAGATTTTCTTAATGTGCGGTAAACACAAAAGTAAAGCGACCAACTTCATGCTGTTAAAAATTTGTGTTACAGTGATGCGCGCGCATCTTAAAATTTCACTCTCATCATTTTTTCATAACGCGCCTAAAGAAGTATAACTTCAAAAAAAACTTGTTATTCCGCCATCTTTCACAACTGATAACTCACCTCACGTCACATGACACGCATGAGATAGCTGAGCTTCATCATCATCATCATCCATCCATCAGCCTTTCTCCGTCCACTGCAGGACATAGGCCTCCCCCATAGAACGCCACAATGCGCGGTCCTGCGCTATCCGCATCCAGCGGCTCCCAGCACATTTGACGATGTCGTCAGTACCACCTTGTTGGGGGCCGACCCACGCTGCGTCGTCCGGTACGTGGTCGCTAGGGTTGCAACGACATATCGGAATATCGATAATATCGAGACCAAAATATCGATATTTCGTAGACTAAATTTAAACACAATAATATCAATTAATTTACCTGCTATGACTATCTAAATTGAATAATATCGAAACAACTATTGCTTTGAAATCGGAAGAGCTTATAGATGTATTAAAAAAATCTTGAACCGCCAACAAACATATGAATATGTCACACTCACCCCGTGTTCTAATGTCAATAAAAAAAAGTAAAAAATATCGATATATCGATAATATCGAGTTAAAATGGTCGATATATCGGATACCGATATTTTCCTGACTTCGATATAAATATCGATATAATATCGATATTTCAAAAGACTTTGCATCCCTAATAGGCTTGTTGAAAATATATCGATGTATCGATATATCGATATTTTTGCCGATATATTTTGATTCGATATATCGATACATCGATACAAAATAACCAATATCGAAATTCGTATTAAAAACGATATTTTTTTAATTATTAGCGGCGTATCAGGATCTTACTAAATTCGTATCTGGAAAAATCGTAACTGGATCTCAGATTAACGATATTCAACATATCTATGATCTGTGCTGTATTTAGTATTGTCTATTATTTGTAAATCTGTTTCGCTGGTGAATTGGTTGTGCTGATTTCCATTATATTCTGTGAAGTGTGTGATTGTCTAGTCTTGTTAACGAAAGAGGCCCTGCAATCATTTTCATCATTCGAAAATAGGGTCTATTTTTAGGGAGATAATTTTCGTTCCATTATTATTCCGCGTGTCATATTTCGTGAGCTACTGTACGATATTTTTGGGAAAATTGGTCCGATATATCGATGTTTTTTTCGCGATATATCGAAGCCGATATTGATATTTTTTAAAAGATCGATATATCGATATTTTTTTCAACTTTTGACATCCCTAGTTTGATAATTCGTCAAAACGCCAATAACTATCCTTTGATTTCGGTTCGTCGCTTGCGTCAACTCAAAACGAAACACCTGACTTTCATTCAGTTGAACCAACCCAAACTGTGTTCGAAGAGTACCTATAACTACGTGATTCAATTAACACCGAAGGAGATGCTACTAATAGTTTTTTTGAAGTGAAAACTTCTTTAGCAGCGTTTTACACTTTTTTTGTATGGGTAAAAAATGTTAGGTTAAAATAAACAATGGTTGTTGACTTTCAATATATTGGACGAATCATAGAAGGTAATATTTAATTTTATCGTATTATAATGATAAGTCTCTGCGAAGAAAATGCATTTTTCTTACAATAGTAGTCGCCAGGTGCGCTTAAATGAGTAATTCTGAGAGATAATAATAAAAATAATTGTCATGTTTGTGTACGATAGCGCAATAAATAAATATTGTATTCTACCACATAAGTGATAGTACTTTTATACTGATAATTAAAGAAATTCGTGCAAAATAATTCCCTAACCATTCCAAAATAGTTATCAAAAATGCACAACGTTAATATTCAAGTTTTCACTTCTGCCGGCACTTCCGTAGTGCAACCTGTGGTTTTTTTTAAGTGTGTATGCTGTTGGTCGCAGATGACCTTACAGCGTCACCGGGTTTGGGGACGGCGAGATCCTAAGTGGATCTCAAGCCGAGAATTGGCGAGTGCCTCTACTATAGGTATTCCAGGCAGTTGGCATCTCGTCACGGGGGGAGTCTCCTCTCCGTCTGGAGCCTCTAGACCACTGGAACCTGAGGGGGGCTGCTAATGGTGGTCGATTGACCATTCTCCTACCGACGCATGCAGTGGTAGTCTGCGTCATTATGATCATGACTAACATGCGCAAGATGCAATGATATAAATGTCCGTCGTGGGTTACGGTGGGTAGGTCAGATGTATTAAGTAATTGCTTCGTGGCTTATTACTCTAAGATAGAATCTGTAGAAATTTGAAGACGTTTTAAATATCATTGAATTTGGCTACTGATCAGAAATCTGACATTGGGGTAGCAGTTGCTTCCTGTGGAATAATAAATAACGGATGGTAACGGATAGAATACATATACTGTACATATATAAGTATATTTATATAGAAATACATATTAAACATCCATGACTGGAGTACAAATGCTCGTATTCATCACACAAACATCTCCCCCCACCAGAATTCGAACCCGGGACCTCTCGAGTCGGCGACACCATAAAACCCGGCGTACTAACCACTCGGCCACGGAAGTCGTCGTCGGAATAATCTCCATATTGTTATAAACAAATATAGATATATAAATTAAGGTGTTACGGTGGCGGAACGATTTTACTGCATGAGGATTTCCGGCATACAGTGATAGTTACCTTTTCCAGGATAAGGTACCTCTGCCCATGAAATAAGGCTTTACCTCTATTCAAAAATTTGTAGAACCATGTAATGAATTTTCAGCCGGCAGTGAATATGCTAGTTACATTGCTCAACGATCAATCTACCGAAGCTAGATATAAGCTTTGGTAAAAACTGTTTATTGCTGCTACTCCCTTATTAATAAACAAAGACTAAGCTTGGATTATTTACTCCATGTTTTATCTCTGTTTATTGAATGACAAATAGAATTTGAGTAAGATGAACAAAACACGGCGTAACTAATTATTAATAAGGCCGCTGGAGTGCTTGAATGTGTTCCTGTGGAATGGGATAGCTTTTATTTCTTACAAATTATTGTAAGCCGTACGGTTTACGCCGGGTCAGCTAGTTTTCAGTATAAAACCGATTCAGGTAAGGTTGAATAATAATCCGATTCGTAATGGAACGTCAGTCAAGATTCAAGAATGCACAACAAAAAATATTGTCTTCGTTGGTCTTACATAAATAATTAGGTGAAGTGAAAGGTAAATCAACTGAATGAATGAACGGTTATTACCAAGGCCTTTTTTATCTGTACCCAACTTTTATGTAACCGTTATTCACTGCTATTTTCAGCATCACTAATTGTAATGCCGGCACTTCACTTGGCTATTCGTAATTGCTTTTTTGTCATATTCGACAATTAATCTTGAGTAGTAAGTTTCATTTGCTTTATTTATTAATATCAATATATTTCATCTATAATTTGCATTATTTTAATTTCAGTATCGCAGAGACCAATTTATTTACTGTATTTTTTTTATTTCCTTAACATCTTAACTTTCAATAGGTATCTTGAAACTTTGATTATCTTTATAATTAAAATATAAAAATTTAATTAACCTACTCTAATAGAATTTATTCAGCTCTTACATTATTCAGGAATCATTTGAATATCTTCCACAATCATTACAGCATTTATTACAAATATGTACAATTATGTATTCGTATTAACTAAATACTTGATAATGATAAAATTAATTTCATCAAAGATTTGCTTACCTTCAACCTTGCCTATGTAGGGACTGGCACCAATCAGTGTAAATATTTTTAGCTAAGGCTTCACCCAGCCTAGAATCTTTTTGAAATATCAATGACTAAACTAGTTAGTTGGATTAATACATTTAAAAAATTTCAAATGCTAATCTACAAAACGTCTTGAATTTTCTTGAATTGCCTTCATTTCTTCGCTTCGCATTTCTTAAAAACAATATTAATAAACTGCCTGATAAAAAATGCGTACCTATTAATAAAAATAATAACTCATGATAACTACAGTCACTCCTATTCGAGTCAATAATCATAATCAATCATAATCAAAATCATTTATTCAGTTTAGGCTGTTACAAGCACTCATGAATGTCTAGAAGCTACGCCATCGGTTCGTAAATCTACGGCGGGAAACCTTGTACTGAGAAGAACCGGCAAGAAACTCAGCAAGGACTGATTTTTTCTCCCTGTTTTATTATTTACAGAGTCGTCAAATTGAAAAATGACTTCAGTGGTGATTCATAAAGTCACTTTTTATTACATAATTATTAAATATACATTAATTGTTTACCTGCATTTTGATTGCTGTGTCATACAGTATAAATACAAATGGTGTTAAATAACACTCGCTAAATGAAGTTAAATGAAATCGTTGAAGTTAATGTTTAGTCACACTGAACATAAATATATTCAGTGTGACTAAACATCAACTTCAATATTAAGGAAGTATGTAGTTTACTCTGATTCTGGACTAAGAGTGAAAGGAAGGCACAGAACAAGGTCAGCTGTTTACTTTCCAGTAGCGGTATTCCACGTTTAGTGTGGTGGTATGTATTCTTAAGATATCTGTAATTGAGAACTATACGCGAGCTGTAACTTAAAAAATCGTAAAACTTGAGAGCCGTGGAACACTCGGTTGGAACGAAAAAAAAACAAACTTAAATATAAATGTACAACACACAATATGCTAAGAAATATCTTACGGTTGTGACGGAAAAATATTTAAGTTTTTCGCATATCGCCTATCCGGCAAGTTCGTATCGTCCGAAAAGAAACATAATTTCTTTATAAAACTAAATTAGAACCGGCGAAGTTTTTGATATTTCTATCATACCATACACAGGTGCCACTCGTCTCTTTACCATTTCGTTATTTTTCCCCTCTCACATTTAATATCAACAAGAACTTATGTATTAAAGGTGTCGATTCTAGCATGATTCTCTAAACCTAAACTTAAATTTGACAGCAGTATATCCTTGTCATTTTCTATACATAATGAAAAGGAGAGATTGATACTAAATTTAGTTTTAAGTTTAGAGAATCACGCCAGAATTGGCACTAATCTCGCTGCAAGAGCTGCTCGAATCACAAATGTGTAATATCTGTGTTTATCTTCGCTAATCTATGATTATTATTCGTTCTTAGACGCCATGTGTATTGTCATATATTTGTATTGACGCGTTTGGCAATTTTTTGTCAATTAAGTGAACACGAAAACGCAAACACCAAGTGTAGTGCCGGCATTAGACATTCGCCATTCATTCCGTCCAGTCATTTGACATTGACAGTTAATTGACATGACATTGTGATGACATTATTGACATTCCATCCAGCTGTATTATAACCATGTCACTAACTAGGAGGTTTTTACGTATTTATACTCAAATAAAACCAATAATACACGTTAACTACAGATGTTCTAGTAGAATAGTCGCCAGCCCTGATAGTGAAAGTCGTCAGAACAGTAATTTATTTGGTTATTTTGGTGCACTGACTGTTGCTGCAGGTTTCATAGGTTATGTTAGTTTGAGGAAGAAATTGTCGGCCGCGACTGTAGTGAACAATAATTTAAAAGGTCGAAGAGAAAAGTATAACTTTATAGCGGATGTCGTGGCGGTTTCCGCACCCTCTGTGGTGTATATAGAGATAAAAGATGGGAGAAGATTTGACTTGTTTAGTGGTCAAAGTATTACACTATCAAATGGTTCTGGTTTCATAGTGAAGGAGGATGGGTTGATTCTTACAAATGCCCACGTTGTGGTCAATAAGCCTAATGCTACGGTCAGTGTGCGGTTAATGGTGGGTAATGATTTATGAACTAATTTGATAATTATTCTTAGATGATAATTTGATAAATAATTAATGCAGCAGTTTTCATAGTTTAGTTACTTAAAAAGGTCTTTACATAACTTATTCAAACAAAACATTAATTAATAATGTAAGCAACATATTGTAACCCTTCTACTCCAAATAATTACTTCCAATGCCTTCTAAGCTAAAGCAAGTTAGACTTACGTTAATATCTTTACCAATACTAAGGAAAATCATATCATCACCTCGTATCATGTATATATAATGCTAAATCTCGAACATTAGAGTTCTCATACGTTTGGCAACCCTAAGCGGTGTGGCCTCGCCTACAACAACACAGATCGTCGGACAGCACCTTCAGGTTGCCCCCTGTCAAAGGCCTATCATAGTTATCACTGTAACTTAAATAAAGGTGGTTTATTCATACAATTCTGAGTATGCCTGTGCAAAATTTTTGCTACCCATTTGCAATAGGCTTGACCGTATGAAAAATAGAGGACCATTGTTGGTATCTGTATTTAATATGAATATGACAAGAGATTTTACTATTCTGAGAGAACAAACAATTAATAACTGATCTAAGAAATCATTAAATAGAAATGACTTTTTGTTGTATGCTTATGTGACCGAAAATCGCCTGGGATTGGGGAAGACTACTAAATGATGTCACATGACGTCATAACATGAGATTATTTTCTATAACTTGTCAAATACCCCATTATTTTCCTTTGTATTGGGAAATATATTAACGTAAGATGACAACACAGATCGTGCTGCTCAGACATATATAGGCTAGTAAGGTTGTCTTATATTTTTTTTAATATATAAGGGCTATTTTTATTTCCAGGATGGATCTACTCATATGGGCTTTGTTGAAGATGTTGATCTAAAATCTGACTTGGCCACCCTGCGTATCCCTGTCAAAGGCCTGCCGACCATGAAACTGGGCTCCTCCTCGGACTTAAAGCCTGGCGAGTGGGTACTGTATTTATATTATGTATCTTGTATAGACTTTAAACTCATTAAATGCCAGCTAAGTTTTATGCAACTGAATAAGTGTGTCATAACATAGATTAATCTCACTCAAATTAGATTTTTCCATTATTGAAATATTCACAATAGGGTATTTGACAGTATTAAAAATAAAGTGCCAATTGTTAGCATCTGTGTTTGGAATGAATATTGGCAGGGGTTTTTACTATTTTTACAAAAAAAATATTCATAATTTTACTGAAAACCCACGAAAAAGATAATAGTTTTCTTATCTATTGTCACGTGACCCAAAACGCTTGGGAGAGGTGGAGCCTAAAATGACGTCACACGCAAGTAAAGTTCCGGTTAAAGTGACATTACATTGTATCGTTTGACGTTTTAATAACAGTTGTGTGACGTAAGTCGATGTACACTAGTAAGACGCCATATTGTCCAGAAAAACGTTTACGCTGCAACTTGAAAATGGAGTTTTTGATTTGGTTATTTTTGCTGAAATACACAACAGAATGATGAGTATCCACGTTTTACGGACTCTATAAACATAAGTCAATAACAAGAGATAGTTTTCTAAAACTTGTCAAATACCCTATTCTGGTCTGTATGGGAAATTTTGTAAAGAGATCACCTGCAATGATTTCATGTTCATGTCCTACACAGTTTGAATGAAAAAGTAGGTAGTAACTCGGTGTTACCATAATTAGCGATCAGATCAGGCAGAAAAAAAAAGTGTTTCCTTTGGGGCTAGGCTAATTGGTGTGAGTGTTGGAAATATTTATTTTAGTTATTTATTTTATTTATGTTGCAGGTAGTTGCAATGGGTAGTCCTCTAGCACTGAGCAACACCGTAACTGCTGGGGTTGTGAGTTCCACCCAGAGAGCTAGTGAAGAACTTGGATTAAGAGGTAGTTATTTTAGATAGAGGAGCTCGATGGCGCAGGTGGTTAGCGCGTTCGGCTGCGATAGTTGAAGTTAAGCAACTTTCGCAGTGGTCGGTCATTGGATGGGTGACCAAAAAATCTTCTATCTCGAGTTCCTCCGTGCTTCGGAAGGCGCGTTAAGCCGTTGGTCCCGGCTGCATCTGCAGTCGTTAGCACCCGCCAATCCGCACTGGGCCCGCGTGGTGGGTCATGGCCCAATCTCCCTATTCCATCCATAGGGAAGGCCTGTGCTCCGGCAGTGGGGACATTAATAAGCTGATGATGATGATGATGATTTTAGATAGATGCAGTGCTGAAATAATGAAAAATATTATTATTACTTAGAAAATACAGTATGGCTCCGTGCCATACAGGTAGTACCTCCCTAGCTGCAGGCGCAGCGGCGGCCTCTGCCGAGTGCTCCAAGCGGCGCAAATATTCAGCTCTTATTGAGAACTACATATTTGTGCCGTTTGGTGTTGAGACTATGGGCCCATGAGGACCAAGCGCTCGTTCCCTTTTTAAGGAATTGTCAAAGAGGCTCACCGAAGTGACTGGTGATCAAAAGGCTGGCAGCTATCTTGGTCAACGGATCAGCCTTGCCATCCAATGCGGCAATGCTGCCAGCCTTTTGGGCACCATTTCTGATGGCGGCGCTGGGGGTGATATGTTTTTTATTTTGTAAATTATTTATTTATGTAGGTAAGTAGGTTAAGCTATGTAGTTTTTAAGTTTGTGTTATTTTAATGTATTATCTTCGTATAAATAAATAAATACAATACAATACAATACAAAAACTCTTTATTAAACACCACGAAAAACATTGAACATTCTGCACAAAAACATTAAGTACAGGTGATGCAATAGGCGGCCTTATCGCTTAAAGCGATCTCTTCCAGGCAACCTTTGGATGGAGAGGATTAGAAGGAAGTGGGAGAGACGGCGGTGTAAATCGCTAGTATAATATAGTCTATTAGTAAATACATATCATACACATATACATATATAAGATATATATACATACATAAATACATACATAGATACAATAAGTATAAATACATACATTGATCCAGTCCAGTTTTTAGAACATGAGATATTAAAAATAAAAGTATTACAACGTCAGATAGTGGGACTTCACAAGGTTTTTAAACGCATTAATAGTTTCCGCACGTCTTATCGAAACCGGAAGAGAATTCCATAGATGTACGGCTTGCACTGCAAACGAACGGTGGAAAAAAGTTGTGCCGTGTACGGGATAAATTAGGAACTATGATTAGAAAATTCATATTTTACATAATGAGTGTGACTTAGAAAATAAATAACATTTACAACGGAAAAAGTATGAGCATTACTTGTACTCTAGCTGATTGTATTAGATAATATAGTCGGTTTTGGTGGGAACCATTTGTTTTTTTATTTGCAATCAGTCTTTGGACTATGAGCAAATTTATTGAGTGCAACCAACTTTATTATCTTTTGCATTTTGGTGTTATATAGGTGTCTCAATAGAACCACTTTCAACAAAACACTCTTTGTTCAGACACAAATGCACGCGCACACACACGTACACATACACTCACACACTCATACACCCACATACAAGCATGCATAAGCACAGACAAACAAATCGACTTAAAGAAATATTGTAAAAAAAAATATATATTATTTTTTTGTGCTACTTTTTAGAGTTCGTTATTATTAAAATATTAAGGTGATCAATAATTCAATGTACCATGTCTTTTAGCACGGAGAGCGGGAATTTCTAATACAAGTATATTTTTACTTAAAAGAAATTCCCAATCGCAATACTGTATCGGAAATTATTGTATCAAATAAAGAATTTGTATTTGTATTGTAAACAAGACAGAAGTGGTCGGCCAGCGCCACCATTTCCTTTTAAGAACATTCTAACTCTTCAGTCTCGAGACTCGGTCAGCTTGCTCAAGCAATTGGTAACCGAACGGCATTTCTCGGCTTTTTGTAGAGGATTATTCCCTGGTAAGAACAAACCCCACCGAGGCCAAAAATGACCCCCCCCCCCCTTGCCCCCCCTCCTCCCCTAATTTTATATAGCTAGTGAACAGCCTAACCCATTTTACATCACAGACTGTTTGGTGTGAAAAATCACTTTGTTTTATGTGAGAACTAGCTGTGGCTTTTAGCGGTTTATTAGGGATATTATTTCGCAGTAAAACGTGGTTTATGCGTTAGTCCACGGTGTCAGCTAACTCCATACCAAATTTTATTAAAATCGCTCCAGCCGTTTAGACGCGAAGAAGTAACAAACATACACACTCACAAACTTTCGGCCTTCATAATATTAGTGTGGTTACGATATTGTAGCGCTTATTGTTAGAATCGGACTGCAGGATTTGTAAATTGAAAGAAAATTTTAAGTAGAAAACACTTCACTTGATCAGCAGAAGACGCTGTTTCCTGACACCTGAAACAAATTTGTTCTTGTAGTAGAATTTTCTTTAGGCTTATAAAATTACTAGCAGTGCCCCGCGGTTTCACCCGCGTTTACAATCATCAACAAATATATTTCGAAAAAGATTATTACAGGATTTTATGTTGATAAAAAACTCTATGGCCCATAACTCATCAATAGGTACCAACTCTTAACATCTTACACACGTGATAACTTTTAAACGAAATATCCGATTGAGATGAAACAAAAAGTATTTTACTTCTACATAAATACTTTTGATAACATAATGCTTAATTTCGATAAAGATTAATATTACGATACATATTTAACGTAGTTTTTTCTTCTTCAGACGATTTAATAATTATTTTGAACACAAAATCGGTTATTGTGATTAAACCATGATAGCTAGATATATGTTCTTGCGGACTTTTTTGTAGGTCTTAATAGGATCTACAAACCCGTAGTACATCATTTTGTTCTATTGTCAATAGTTTTTGCAGCGCACGCAAAAATAGGTTTTCGATTTTACACCCTGTGTTACAAAATAGCAATTCTATTACGGATCCCTAATTTTGAAAATAAATAAATATAGCCTATAGCCTTCCTCGATAAATGTACTACCCAACACTGAAAGAATCATTCAATTCGGACCAGTAGTTCCAGAGATTAGCGCGTTCAAACAAACAAACAAACAAACAAACTCTGCAGCATTATAATATTAGTATAGATGTTACTATCATTTATCCCTTTCAGGTAAAGACATGGTGTACATACAGACAGACGCTCCCATCACGTTTGGCAATAGCGGTGGACCACTAGTCAACTTGGATGGTGAAGCAATCGGCATAAACAGCATGAAAGTCACCTCGGGCATATCCTTTGCAATACCCATTGATTACGTCAAGGAATTCTTGGAGAAGAGTGAGTTGACTACGTTTATTTCTATTATTATAATCTTGTTGTTATTTGTATGTAGGCCAATAGGGTATTTGCCAAGTTTTAGAGAACGATCTCACGTTATTGACTAACTAGCAAACCAGTGAACCAAAAGTTCACCAAAAAAAAAAAAAGGTTTTCCAATTACAGAGCATAATGCGACTCAGTGGCGCACAATGCCGAATTATGCTGATGCTTAATTGGAATGTGAATTAGTTTTCAAATGCACCAGCAGAGTGCGCTAAGTTCAGTGTTGAAAAAAAAAGTCAATGTTTGTACCTTCATCCATATTTATGTTTAATTTTTTAACACAGTTTGAATTAACTTTGATTATTTAAAAAAAAACTATAATGAAACGAAAGTATTAATAATTTTTCAACAATACGATAACATATAAATAAAACATTTCGATCAATGCCAACTTAAAGAAAAAAAATGGATGCGTGTAACTTATGTACGCGCGTGAGAAGTTATACTTCTTTAGCATCATTAAAAATATTTTTTAATTGCATGCAAATAATTAATAATTACAATAAAATAATAAAAGGACTGGAAAAGGATAGTTAACACATGCAGTCAATTAAGTTCAGTTTTAATTTGAAAAATTAAATAAATATTCAAAATATTCAACTAAAATCACTACTAAATTTAAGTTATTAGTCCATATGTAATTAGCACTTGTAAGTAACTAAAACACGTTGTGTCTATATAGAAACTAGAAACATGTGGATAAATATTATAAATATGAAAACAGTGATCAGAGGCGACGAGCGTGCCAACATTGTTTTTGACAACGCGATCATCTTATGGAGCTCCGTGGATCGTTCAAAGTACCTTTCGAACAGATGTCTAATAATGGTGGATTATTAACCACTTAGTGGTAATAATGGTGGATTATTAACCACTTAGTGGTTAATAATCCACCATTATTAGACACTAACATTCATAACGCGCCCGCGGCCAACTTCATGGTGTTACTATTGTGTTACAGTGATGCGCGCGCATTTCGAAATTTCACTCACATGATTTTTTCATAACGCGCCCGCGGCCAACTTCATGCTGTTACTTTTGTGTTACAGTGATGCGAGCGCATCTAAAAATTTCACTCTCATCATTTTTTCATAACGCGCCTAAAGAAGTATAACTTCAAAAACACTTGTTAATTTTCTGTCTCGGAGTTGGTACGATTGCACGCATCACACGAAAGCATTGCTTTTGAGAGTGCTCGATTGTGCGAAGCGTTGCTGTAGTTGAAACACTCAACGTTAAGCATTATTATGCCGCATAATGCGCTATAATGCTGTAATTGGAAAGCTACCATAATCTCGCTCATTCCTGTGGTAGCTGCGACAATGGTGGGGTAGCTTGACAGTATGTAGATCGCTTTTCGATCGCACGTCGTCTTTTCTTTATCGTATCTCACTGTCAAACTCCATAGGAATTTGACAATTAATCGTGATAAAATATCATCGCGGTGCTCATGCTAGGGCCGGCGGCAGGCCCTAAAATAGGGATGATGACTAATTTTTTTTCTTCGTTTATCAGGTAGATTATCAAAAAGTATTGGGCACGTATTTTTTTCTTTTTTCACAGTATATAAACATTGCAGTGATATATTGATTTGAAAAGTCGCATGACTTCACGTTTTACAATTAAACAAGTACAATTTTCACTCAAAAGTGACGTCACGAGCCCCTACTCCATAACTTTGACGCGCTATAACTTTGTCATTTTTTGGTTGATTGCCCAAAGAAAAAATACGTGTCCATTATTTTTTGAATATCTAGCTGACGGACTATATAGAATTTCGTTTACTGTACCCCGTCATCACCCCTATTGACGAACCTGATTTTACACATTGAAGAATATACTGAGACAACAAAGAAATAACTATAATTTGTTTTCTTAGGTTAAAACAAAAAGGGAAGATACTGTATGCTCATACTAGCATCAAATAAAATATGATCCGACTCAACTGGGTCTGTACTGTACGCTTCGCGCGCGCTCAAAATGGCGATTACGTAAATAACATTCACGACAAACCGTGATTTTTGAGAAAAAAATGATTTTACAGTTTTACGAATGAAAAGTGTTGCCGAGACATTTGTTATTTGATTTTGAACTATTTGTGTTGTTTATAAAAGCATCGAAGGCATTGTTTTATCTTCATAGCACAGAATATACGCAATATTGTTATAATGAGTGCATATGCAGCGCGTTTGAATGTCCAATTGTGACTAAAGCAAATTATGGTCACGCACCACAATTTAGACGGATCACTTTTAAGCCGCGAGTGCCCATCTTCACTTTATGTTTTAATTTAAGATTGTTTTGGTTTAATGTATTGTTTTTCAGTAGTTTAAAAAAATATATTATTATGTAAGACCTTATGTATAACCTGTTTATAAAACTAATAATAATGTAAAGTCTTACAACTTGTACTTATATTTTTGTATGAGTTAGCAATTAATGTTTTTTGTTAAAACCATTTGCAGGAAAAACTAAGTCACCTCAAGTATCAAGAAGGTACCTCGGCATAACCATGTTGTCTCTTTCACCCAATATTCTGATGGAGCTGCGAATGAGGAACCCAGAGGTATTTTTGATGTCAAATTATTATTAATTTCATCATAATAATTATCACCGTATTAAGAGCCAATAAAGTTTATTTCTGCAAGAAACCGTAATTTTCTAAGAACTAAATTTACCCACTTAGAAAAGATTTCGAACATGCAGAAAGTAGATTTTTAGAAAAAAAAATGGTTGCCTGTAAAGTCGGTTTTACGGGCGAAGATTTTACGTGACAACGTCTTTTTCTCGGTAGAATATTTATTGATATGAATATAATTAAATTGCACAATAGGAACAAGGAATTGAATGAAAATAAGAATTGCACAAATTTTAACTATAGAAATATATTTTGTTTACTAAAACATTGTACATGTAAACTTAAACTTAACACGAGAGACTCATCGTAACGTTACCGAGCGTTACACTTTTTCATAAGTGACTCCCAGCCGCAACCTAATTTAAGACGTTGTCACGTCAAAACATGTAGAAAGTTTACTTTCATATTGAAAGTTAACGTTATATATTTGCAAATATAATGTGAAATAATTCCATTGACTTCCATTGATCAAAGTTGGTTAATACCGCATACCAGGGAACGCGTTATATTTTATGTAAAAAACATATATTTTATATAACTTATACTTATATTGAGGAGCTCGATGGCCCAAGTAGTTAGCGCGTTCGACTGCGATCGTTGAAGTTGAACGACTTTCACAGTGGTCGGTCATTGGATGGGTGGATCAAAAATTCACTTAACGTGCCTTCCCAAGCAGGGATGAGTGAGGGATGATAAGTTTTTGGTCACCCATCCCATGACCGACCATTGCAAAAGTTGCTTAACTTTCACGATCGCAGGCCGAATGCGCTAACCATCTGCGCCAACGAGCACCTCGTTTACATGGCTTATATATTGCTAGTATATTGTTAAACATATATAACGTACACATTCATCTCTACCCAATGTAAGTTACTAATTATATGAAATTTATGTAGTTTAACCAATGACCTTCTATATATATGGACTTCGCGTAGACGCGCTGAAGGCGTTACATAAAAAATTATACGAAACTTAGAATATCCAAATCAAAGAATAAATTCGACACGTCATGACATAGTCAAAATTTAAAACCGTTAAATACAGTAGTTTTAAACTTTTAGATATTTTCATTTTGAGAAAAATTTACAAGAATACAGGGTGTTACAAAAATACAAATAAAGCTTGTAGGGCGTTGAAGTACATCATTTAAGGAGTCTTCTCTAATTTTCTTAAAATATTTGCAAGAACTTTGAACTTTTTATAAAAACAGTTATTTTTAATGATTAATAAAAATATCGATCATTTTAAGACACGTCACTAGTTCGGGGTCATGCACCTTACCAGGAGTAGTAATAAATCTGTTGTAATAAAGAAAATTAGAGAAGATTCCTTATATGATGTACTTCAACGCCCTTCAAGATTTATTTGTATTTTTGTAACACTCTGTATGTTTAATGTTTTCAGTTAAATTATAAGTTAAGTGACCTAGCCGATAGGTGCAGCGAGGGTTTCAAAAGTATATTCAATCAATTCAACAACAAACTCTAAATCCTTATTTTCGTATTCTCTGCAGTGTCCTCCTACAGATAAATCCCTTAATTATAATAGGGATGATGACTAATTTTTGAAGTTATACTTCTTTAGGCGCGTTATGCAAAAATGATGAGAGTGAAATTTTAAAATGCGCGCGCATATCTGTAACACAAAATTTTAACAGCATGAAGTTGGTCGCTAAAGCGACCAACTTCATGCGTTACTTTTGTGTTTACCGCACATTAAGAAAATCTACCAACAAAATAGAAATAGAATCTCTATTTAGTGGGTGCTAACGACTGCATTGTGAAGGCCTATCAAAAGTATTTATTAATCTGGAACAACGGAACCAAAGCGCGATTCAGGAGACTACAGCGCCATCTCTTGACCATTGGTGTAGTAGAACCAAAAACCACATCTTTATTTTTTGTAATAAAGTAACAGTTATAGGTATTCATATTTATAATATTTATCCACATGTTTCTAGTTTGTATATTCGGAATACGTGTTTGAGTTTCATACAAGTGCAAATCACATATGTTCTAATAAATTATATTCAGTAGCGATTTTAATTGAATATTTTGATTATTTATTTATTTTTTCAAATTAAAACTGAACTTTATTGACTGTGTCCTTTTCCAGACTTTTTATTAATTTATTGTAATTAATTATTTGCATGCAATTAAAAACTAATTTTAAACGATGCCAAAGAAGGATCTCACGCGCCTACATAAGTACACGCACCCATTTTTTTTTCTTCGTTTATCAGGTAGATTATCAAAAAGTATTGGACATTTTTTTTTTCTTTTTTCACATAATATAAACATTGCAGAGATATTTTAATTTGGAAAGCCGCATTCACTCAAAAGTGACGTCACGAGCCCCTACTCCCAAACTTTGACGCGCTATAACTTTGTCATTTTTTGGATGATTGCCCAAAGAAAAAATACGTGTCTATTATTTTTTGATCATCTATCTGACGGACTTAATTTAAAATATAATTTCGTTTACTGTACCCCGTCATCACCCCTATTAAATATGTTGATTGTTAGTATAAAATGGTAGTGGATCTCTTTAAAAGCTGTGCGTAAATGGGGTTGCGTTGCGTTTTCTACTGCTAATGCTTGTAAACGGATGCTGCCATGCGAGATAAATCTGCTCTGTACCACTTTAATATTTATTATGGCAAGTAACTTTTATCCCACAATGTAGTCGATAATCTGAAACTAAAGAACTGATATTGAATTTAGTTTTAAGTTTAGATATTCATGCCAGGATTGAAACTACTGTTTGCCTAACATAATATTATGCGATATTGTCTGTCTTACATATATGATGCGATATTGTCTGCGTAACATACATGATGCGATATTGATTATGCGATATTGTCTGCCCGACATATATGACGCGATATTGTCTGCCTAACATATATGATGCGATATTGTCTGCGTAACATACATGATGCGATATTGATTATGCGATATTGTCTGCCTGACATATATGACATGATATTGACTGCCTAACATATATGATGTGATATTGTTTGCCTAACATAAATGATGCGATATTGACTGCCTAACATATATGATGCGATATTGTCTGCCCGACATATATGACGCGATATTGACTGCCTAACATATATGATGCGATATTGTCTGTCTAACATATATGATGCGGTATTGACTGCCTAACATATATGATGCGATAATGGTGTCGATTCTGGCGTGATTCTCTAAACTTAAAACTAAATTTATTATCAGTCTCTCTTTTTCATTCTGTATAGAGAATGACAAGGAAACACTGTTGTCAAGTTTAAGTTTAGATTTAGAGAATCGTGCCAGAATCGACACCATTGTCAGCTTAACGTATATGATGCGATATTGTCTGCCTAACATATATGATACGATATTGTCTGCCTAACATAAATAATGCGATATTGTCTGCCTAACATATATGATGCGATATTGACTGCCTAACATATATGATGCGATATTGTCTGCCTTACATATATGACGCGATATTGTCTGCCTGACATATATGACCCGATATTGTCAGCCTAACATATATGATGCGATGTTGTCTGCCTAACATATATGATGCGATATTGTCTGTCTAACATATATGATGCGGTATTGACTGCCTAACATATATGATGCGATATTGTCAGCTTAACGTATATGATGCGATATTGTCTGCCTAACATATATGATACGATATTGTCTGCCTAACATAAATAATGCGATATTGTCTGCCTAACATATATGATGCGATATTGACTGCCTAACATATATGATGCGATATTGTCTGCCTTACATATATGATGCGATATTGTCTGCCTTACATATATGACGCGATATTGTCTGCCTGACATATATGACCCGATATTGTCAGCCTAACATATATGATGCGATGTTGTCTGCGTAACATACATGATGCGATATTGATTATGCGATATTGTCTGCCTGACATATATGACCCGATATTGTCAGCCTAACATATATGATGCGATGTTGTCTGCCTAACATATATGATGCGATATTGTCTGCCTTACATATATGATGCGATATTGTCTGCCCAACATATATGATGCGATATTGTCTGCCTAACATATATGATGCGATATTGATTATGCGATATTGTCTGCGTAACATATATGATGCGATATTGTCTGCCTAACATATATGATGCGATATTGTCTGCGTAACATATATGATGCGATATTGTCTGCCTAACTTATATGATGCGATATTTTCTGCCTAACATATATGATGCGATATTGTCTGCCTAACATATATGATGCGATATTGATTATGCGATATTGTCAGCCTAACATATATGATGCGATATTGTCACCCTAACATATATGATGCAATCTATGTGCCCAAAACTGTTCTTATTATTAATTTTATATTTATAATTATGTGATGCAAGGCGTCTTAAAATACTGAAGGCTGTTAATCTAAGAATATTTAAATGACAAAAAGGCTTGACCGTCATTGCTCTATTTCCTTATTTCCATATTTACCTACAGTGTCCTACAGACAAATGACCTTAATTATAAGTAAATATGTTATTTGTTATTAGAGGTGGTAGTGGGTATATTTAAAACCTATGCGATTGTGTTGCTTAGCGTTTTCTACTGCTAATAGTAAAAAATAATATTTCCAACACTCACACCAATGAGCCTAGCCCCAAAGTAAGCACTGTAGGCTTGTGTTATGGGATACTAGGGTAACGGATAGAATACATATCATATACGGAAAAATATATAAGTATATTTATATAGAAATACATATTAAACATCAATGACTGGCGTACAAATGCTCGTGCAAATTCATCAAACGAACTGCCTCCACCGGGATTCCAACCCTGCTCAACCAAATATTTGGTCACCCACCCAATAAGCGACCACTGCGATTACTGCAAAAGTACACTATTAAAAAACACTGTTTTTG